ACGATGATTTCCCTATTTATTAGTTAAAAAGTTTATACTGGCTAATATATGTATATATATATATATATATATTTCACAAGTAGCCAGTATAAACTTTTTAACTAATAAATAGGGAAATCATCGTCAGATGATAGCCGGTGGATTCGGACATTGCATTTCAACCACAGCCTGCTCAAACGTGATTAGTCAATACTACTGAGACTACTAACAGAAACCTGAATTTAGCTCACTTTCCTTATTTCCAGAAAATAATGGCAAAGCAGTATTGGATGATTCTCCAAAACCCTGGTCATATGCTCAATGACAATGTTGTTGTTTGTTAAATCCAATGTCAAGGTTTTATGATTCTTGCTTTCTTTGATATATGTCAATGGCAACTACAGCATGATTTAGGTTAGGTAAACATGGTTACGGAAGACAAACCATGGTTGGAGTTAAAACACTTTAATAAGTCAAAAGTTTGTGACTTGACACAACCTCCAATCTCTTGCATGAGAATCTGACATGCTTCATATCAATCCACCACCTTGAACTCGACTCATTGGCACTAAATGTTGGCCTTGTGGGCAAAATCTGAGAGGTGCAAAATTGTCCAATATGAACAAAGTTTCTAGACTTGATACTTAAATTGACACAATGTAGGCGCATGCATTTTCAGATAGTTAGAAAGATAGATGTAGATAGATATAAGAAATGATATCAGAAAATCAAAATGTCTTATGCAATATCAACCCCAGATAGAACAGCAATTCACATGTGTTAAATTCATATGTACAGGCACATGTGGGTTTTAGATATTTTTATTATAATAATATTATTATAATAAACAAAAAATTTAAATCACAACGCACTCTTAATAGCTCTCTTAGAAAACTTTTCACCCTATTGCCACCAGGTATCTGGAAAACCTGGCAAATGCAAAGGACAGATTGACAGGGCAAGGCAAAGGCTGTCACACAACATAATGGTCAAGGTAAGAAGATATTATTTTAAAGGAGAACTCTATGTCAATGTCAAACCCTTTCAACAAAGAAAGAAGAGTATGATTTCTTCTGTACTTTACAATGCACAATACAATGGAGAGAAATGTAATGTCTTCCTGCAGAACTTCTATAAGCAGATATCTCAAAACCTGGGTGCATAAAACCAAAACTATCTGCACAGCTCTGGCTATTTTGTGAACTGACCCTTTAACCTATGTTTTTAGTACAAACACTACTCCGTCTGAAACTGACGCGTTTTTGTGGCCAAAATGTCAAGAATAAGTTTTAACAGCTGAATGTGCAGGCTAACCACCCTTCCCTGCTTCACCATAATATAGTTCCAAGCTGCAGTCATTTGTGGTCCTTCACTGCTAATAGCATCCCCTTAAATTGAGCTCCCATTTCCTCATCTCATCTGAGCCCAGCATGACCCACAGATAGGCCCTTGTAAATTCTCTCCCCATCTGGCTCCTTTTAAGTCTATGTCAGACTGTCCATAATCGCTCTGTCAAAATGGCATTCCGTCACCGCTTGTTATGAGGTAGCGTAGAGTAGGAGGCTGAGACATACCAGAGTCTGAGAGTGTCTAGTGAGCCTGCCAGCCCCCTAGATGTAACATGAGGAAATGAGTTTGTGTCAGGACTATTTTGGAGTTGCTTTGAAGTCTTATTTTGCCTCCTTTGCCTCCAGGGGGACAGCACAGAAAGGAAAGTGGGGGGGGGGGGGGTACAATGTTGTGAAAACTGCCAAAATGCCCTGATAACCCAAAATAAAAGGCACTGTTGTCTTGATCTCACGCCTGGGTGGTCAAAGCACATAGAAATACATCACTAGTCAGATATGTATGTCACTGTGTCACAGACTGCACAGCCTTTTTTGTGGTATGATTTGTCTTTTTATGTCAGCTGTGTCGCCCTCCTTAGGGGAGAGTTTTATTATTCTGAGGCCTTTATCACTCTGTTTTGTTAATTCATTGTTTACATTTCGTACTCCTTATTGTTTTAGTCAAATGTAATTATTATGTTAAGCCTCAAGTGGTGTTTTGTGTATATATGTAGCGGTATAAGAAAAATGACATGGTATGGAAAAGTTTTCAGTAATCCGCTGTTTAGTTGCACACTTTTGTATTTGACTGCTGTTGCACAAGCATCTAAAAAGAGACACACACGAGTTGAAAAAAATTAAACAGACACATCATAATCCCACTACTGAAAAAGACATATTGTTATCATCATATTGAACAAATTCATAGATCAATAGCCAGTAGAGGGTCTGTCGATATTAGCCGGGAGCGACGGGCTCCTCAGTGGAGAGAAGGGGGAGGGGAATATTCCTTAGGCGGCCCAAGCAATGATTTTTATTCACTCACAGGCAAACACAAATGTGTACACACGCTAAGGAAAACCTTAAAATTGCTTCACACACTGAGGTGTAATGCATTAAAAAGTAATAAGCCTATTACTGGCCAGTCAGCAGCACCTTAACCTTGAACACAAGTTTTTGGGGCAGTAAAGGGGGCCATCTTGTCTCAGCACTCCCCATTTACCTCTTTAGCATCAGCAGTAACAGTGAGAAACTGCAGAGCAATAATGTCAACCCAACATGAATCCACACATGCGCACATGCACACACAGCCACATGTACACACAGACTCTTTAGTGAAGATGGTGGATGCCTCCCGCCCCCTGTTGCGTCCGAAGCGATGTTCCTGGAGTGGGGACAGCGAGAGGGCATCCCGCAGTGCTGTTTGAGCGTCCTTGCCAGCGCCAGACAACTTCACTATCCCTGCCCTAGCAGGGGGCGATAATCACATCAAGCTCCCCTGACAAGAGGCATTGAATTCAGCTCCGGTCCCCTTAAGAGTCTGGCATCCAGCAGTCTCTCCTGAACATGCTGCTGACGTTACAATGAGAAGGTTTGTGTTTCCATTTTTTCACTCCGTGGCATCGCTTTTCTTTTTTTTTTCTTCTCTTTTTTTCTTTTTTTTTTTGTCGCCGCCTTCAAAATGTATTTGGGAACAAGTTGGAATTCCACGTCACTGGGGCGAAAATCTGAATTGGCAGAATTGAGCGCTACCGCCATTGCCATTTGAAAAGTGTTATTGTATTGGCGCCTTGTGTTTGTCATGGTGTATTCTATGTAATATCTAGCTTTTGTCGTTCTGTCCTGAGGAATAATTTTGAAAAGTTTTCATGGGAAATTGCTTTTTCATGTATGTCATTTGGAATTTCCGTAGATTATCTCCTGCAATTGGGTACTGTAGTTACCATTGCAATGGTCACAGTCAGTGACTTTACACACTGAATAAAAGGCAAAATACTGAAACAATATGTGGAAATACACTCAAGCTCAATCCCATGCGGTGGTCAAAAAAAAAGGTGGTCAGAAAAACAGGATGCTATCGCTTTAAGAGGTCCCAAACCACACACTTTAAATTGTTGCCGGCTGCTCTGGTTAGCAGCAATATTATTATATTATTTTTTTTGCAGTTGTCAGCTATTATTTTTACATACTCATGCTTCTATGTAATAGTTTTCTACGTGAATGTTTATGGGTATCTCATAGCGCAGTCTGCCCTCTCCTTGTGGGAGATGTTTACATTTTGTGAATACCCAATATTCGTTCAACATGGCTATTTTTGGAAAATGTCGTCCAGTAATCAAAACAAGGATTAAGTGGGGGCATCCTTTTTACTTCTGAAATCCACCAAAACAGATGAGAACCACACTGGACTGTTTTAAGCAGCTTTGTGGGCCTGCAGAGCTCAACTGCTACCCAGGGAGCCTGGCCTCCAGCAGCTACACCCCATTCATCACCTGCTTTCAATGGCCACCACCATGCCGCCTCCGGCTAGAAGGCCAGGTAGGGTGCCGGGTGCTGCACAATGTTTGGGGGATTAGCAATCAAAGGAGAGCGGAGGCTAGCGCCCTCCATCCCAGCCCGCCATTCACTCCTAGCAGGGGAGGAGAGCTCCAGCAGTGGACAAGGTCAACGTCTCCAGCTCGGCAGGAGGTAACTGGGAAAGAACCCTGGGAACCACCCGCCTGCTCTGTGCTAATGAAGGCTAGCGGGCTAGCAGCACAGCAGGTGTCTCGCCCGCCAAACATTCATCTGTTTGTGCTGCTGATAGCATGGGTGACAACAAGATAATGCCTTGCTTTTACTTTCCTCTCACTTTCCCCCTCTTTCTCCCTTCTTTCCGTCTTTTGTTGATCTCTTTTACTCTGTTTTGCCCTATTCTGTGGGATTTGGTTTTCTGTCTTTGAACTAAACTGTATTCTGAGTTAGCAGAATGATAAACTGGTACAATAGACTTTTCGTCTGGCATAAATTGTCCCCCGATTTTCATGGGAAGGATGTGGGTGAGAAGTGTTAGGGTACAACGACAAAGGCCATTTGAGGATACAAAGTTTCTCTCAAGTTACCATGGTTGTAAACAGCAAGGCCCTTTGTGAAAATCTTATTTTCTTGTAGAACATGATAATATGCAACATTGGCTTAAGATATTTGAGTAGCAAACCTTTTTTTTGTTAGAGTTCGAAGTCCCTCTTTGTATTTGCTATCGCCATCCTGAATCGCATGTGACGGAACAGTGATTATGGCCATCGTTTAAGCTGATTTGGCGTCCTGTGGTGCGAGACATTGGGCTGAGAAACCCTGATGGGACAGCTGGTTTTAGACTCACAGATTGTGTCGTTCAGTGCCCAATACATTCTTCAAGATCGCAAACTGGCAGATTAGCTTAGCCCGCTAGGAATGACAAGGGGGAAGCAAGCAGTAGGGTAACGATGATGTAAAAAGAATCGTTGTCGTGTTCCAGTCGGAGGCAGGAAAGCAACCTCCCCGCAACCCCACCCTCACACAAACACACCCCTGTTGGGATTTTGGCAAGTTGTCATGACGACAGGGATGTTCTCCTGATGAAGTCTCGCTCAGCGCTGTCCAATCAGATCGTGGAGCTACAACCGCAGCGTGAACAGGGGAGGACGCACCTATTCCAGTTGCACAATGCTGAGAAAGGACAGGCGAAAAACTGGACCACCAACGGGAAATCGGCAATCCGGGGGAGGCTGTCAATGGGCTGCCATGGTTCGACAATACACAAACAGCGGGGGTCGTGGATACAGGGGCTGCCAGGTAGGGGGTCTCGATCAAGTCTGAAGCTGTTAGAGCCGCGATTCTTTGCTGCTATCAATACAAAGTATAAATGAATTGTTTATTTTTGCTGTTGGCATGCAGTTATTGAACCTTGCATATAATGTGGCTTATGTGTGTTATATGTTGTTTCGGGATGTTGTCGTAGCTATCGGACAGCTTCAGTTGCACTTTACCAAATTGGCAAATCACTCCTGCAGGTGGTTTTTACAAATGTGCAACAGTAGCAAGAACCACAACAAAAAGCAAAGGGAAATGATGTGGAATGGGGGAAAATGTCATGTAGCATTAACATTAATTTAATTTTGTATTCGTTTCACTGCGGGATGTGTACCAGGAGTATGAGAGGCTAATATACAGAAACTGCAGGTAGCAAAGTGAAGGAAAAACTCTCCCGGTGTTAGTTTGATTCAGGCCTTTTATTTCAAACCCAGGGGAGGATTTTTCTTTTCATTTTGCTGCGGGCTGACCAAAGGAGAAGCAGAGGCTGTTTGTAGCTCTATGAAAGACGGAGGGCTTGGTGGGGGCGCGCTCTGTTTTTTTCTCCAGACACTGCAGGTAGCCATTATGGTCATCGCTCTCGAAAGCTTATTACTTCAACCCATCGAATTGTAGCTGTCTACAATTAATATTCTTTTTTTTCCAACTGTTGTCCTGTTCATAAGATGATCATGATTTGTATTTCTTTCTTTTAATTTTTTTCTATTTTGAGCACCAAACCTCTTCTTACCCCTCCCTCACTCAGCTCCAGTCCCTCTATCATAGGGTCTCAGTGGGACGCCATTCGTCAGACTGACCCCCAATAGAGGTTGTGTTTGACTCTTCAAACTTGAGATTCAAATGTAGGTTGTCAGCATGGCAAAACCACCATTATTAGCTCCTGGCTGGATATCAGCAAGTTTTTTTTTTTTTTTTTGTTTTGTTTTTTGAAGCGTTCTCTTTAGTTGGATATTTTTGCTAAAGTCGGCTCCACAGTGAGATGGTCAGCCCAGCGGGATGGCTTTGGGATCATTGTGTTGGTCAAAATACTGGGGAACCACTAGTTTATGATATTTTAAAGACCAGTTGCATTTGATAATCAAACTATATTGGGAAATATGAGGAAATTTTTTTTGTTTTTATTTAACTATATTTGGGTAATTCAGATCACAGATGATTGGTTTCACACAATACAAACTTTGAAATCTGTAGTGAGGGTGGGCCTCACTGACAGTGAGCACAAATTATGTTTTGAGAGAGGATGACATGTTTTATACAGCGTTGGTTGTTGTGTGTGGTTATTTCAGCCACTAACAATTGGGTAAAGTATTACAAGTTTTGAAGTATTTTATGGTATAATAGCAGGCCATATTTCATGCCATGTCCAACATGGAGTTGCAAAATCCCCAATTTCTGATTCCATATTGAAGTTAAAATAGTGAATTGTCGAGTCTGAAAGTTGGCTCCAGTCACCAAGCTTAAAATAAGACAGGCTGTCACTTTTTCCAGCAACTCAGCATTTTTGATACAACCCAACCAGGTGAACATACTCTCACCTTACATGGAAGAATATTATAGTAGGCCTAGTCAGTCAGTTTGATATGAGTTACTCAAGCCATTTGGCCTGAGCAGATACTATTAAGCCTAATATTGGTAACCTTTAGGCAAAGATGCCAAAAGAAGCTCATTGCTGCAAGCTGAATACTCGGCTATGTTATTTGAGATGGCAATCAGCACTTCACAGAGAACAGAGAAAACACGCTTTACTTGTTTAACCTTCATGCAACCCCAAGTCCACTTCAATTCAAGCTAATGGCAGCCATAGAGGCTACTGTAGTAACCTTGAGAATTAACTCAAGCAGAGACTCAAAATAGAGTTTTATAAAGTCATAGATCTATTCACCAGATTTTGACAGAAACGATTTATTATTTGAATGAGCTTTATATGAATTATGTAAACATATATTCATTCATGTTTATCTCTTATAAGGAGCCTCACTTCATGCATTAAACAATCTCAATGGGCGTGGATATCATTTTGCTAAAGATACAGTCATGTACATGTGAAACAAGTTAACCCAGTGTAAAGTTGCTTTTTTTGCGGTCACTTCCGAGTTGAAGGGAAGGGGTTTTCCCATTGCTGTGAAATTACACAACACAAATGTTCTGGAGAGTCTGCGGACAATGATGTCAGATTGTTGCAGAGCGAAAGGGTTTGTAGCAGGAAAACTGCTGAAGTGAGATGATTGCTGTTCTTGTGATGCAGATTAATAACATTTGGTGACTGGGGTCAGATGTGGTGAGCTCTGCACCATCCTGTTTACTGTCTGACCTTGAAGCTTGGGAAGATGTTAAGAGCATTGTGTCCACTGTGAATTGTGTGTTTTGAACATGAATGATGTGTTCAGAGAGAATCAAAGACATGTTTACGCACAGGATTATTCCTTTCTTACAAATGTCATTGGTGTTTATTAGTTACTCTTTTTTTGTCTTTGCAAGTCCCTTTTTCAAAGATCCAAAGTGTTGTAAAAGCTGTCTGGAGGAAGAAGCCACAAAAGCAGTTGGGAAACCCAACGCAACCTGCTTGGAATCCATTTCTGGCATCATGTAATCAACTGCTGCTGTCATCTACATAAATCACAATTTGAAACATGCTAAGAAAGAGGGATAATAAGCTGTTTCGTGGGCTGCAATCAATCGCCAGAGACACATGTGTCACTAAATGTCATCTTGTGGTTGATTGGACCACCCAGAGGTTGCCCATTTAAAGCCATGCGGTTTTCATTGAAGAAGTTCCAGGGTTGCACCCCAAAGGCCGTTCCCCCTGCCCACCAACCCCACAGACCCAGATCCTCTGATCTATGGCTGGGGTCCCCTTCCGCAAATTACTGCAGTTGAAAAGAACCCGAGCATGGACGAAAAGAAACAAGGCCTGCAGATTGCTCCTGAGGAAAATGTCATTCCCAGCAGTTAGCCTGCATTTCTCCTAACAAGGAACCAGATCTAGAACAAACCATCTGATGACAGTCATAGAGCAGACACGTCACCGTTCACTCAGACCCCGTTCACTCAGACCTAGAAATATCCATTATGACCATGTGAAGATGGGGGGGAGCGATTGTTGCAAATTAATTGCCCATCACTTGTCAGTGGAGTGCAGAAAAACTAGCACCGTGAAACTGTCTCTCTCAGAAGCTGTCAGCCAAGGACAATGAATACATCCAATTTCTACCCCACCTCCCTACATCTGATTTAATATAGAGAGACGTGGACCACAGACAGAGCTGTGAGAGAGCGTACAGCAGCAATGTGGTCAGGTTGTAAACACACAGACATGAAGTGGAAGAACGGGATTACAAACAGGTTTGATCTCCTCAGGGCTGTCCAGACCGGCTGACAGGGGAGGAGGGGAAAGGATAGGAGGCGGGGGAACGGTGATTTGGGCTCCTTTTATTCACTCCTCTCCCATCAACTACCCCTCTCTTGCCGGCAGCATTGTCATTTGGGCTGTCCGGATACAACTGAAAGTCCGGCATTGAAAGAAGCACTACAATGAAGCAAGAGACAGACAAACACACAGACAAATGCACCTGGAGGCTGAAGTCTTGGAAAACAGCTGAGACCCACCAATTTGTGAACAGCACAATTTTCAATAGAGTCATAACATTACCCTCCTCCCTTTCTCAGTCTCTCTCTGTTTCTCTTTCTCCATTGTTCATTATTTTTAAGGCACTGAAAGATAAGCTACACTAATTTTCCCCTTTGGCTCTCCTTTGACCATCCAGAATGGTTAAAGGAGAGCCAAAACCTCTGTTAATGCCAAACAAATCAAATTAAATTTCTTATCATTGTTTCTTTTTTTCAAATGAGTCAAACACACAGCGAAATTGATTTCCATTTATCTTCATCCTATTGTAATATTATCCTCTTTGTTCATTTCCTATTGGGCTCGGAATGACAAGGAATAGGCAGATCAGGAGATAATGATGGTGTGGCTTTCTTCCAGGGATGAGGCCCAATGTGCGGATGACACGGTCTAAAGATGAAGAACCGTCCTCATCAGGCAATTTAGACAGGACAAATAAAGGTCTAGCATAGCTAGAAAGTGAATCATGTCCTTCAAGTTAATGTGTGACATCTAATATCATTTGTGTCTAGAAGGCAGAAGTCTCTTCTATAAAGAATAATTGTACATCTGCAGGAGAAATGTGACCCATCAGTAAAATCTCATCTCCTTCACAGACTTAGGATTTGGTGGTGTAGTGTGCCTTAAAGGGATAGTTCACCCCTAAATTAAGTTTAGTTTCCTCTTACCTCTAATGCTATTTATATGGACAGAGACATTGCTGCTGAGTTTTAAAATGTATTTTTGGGGCCTTAACCTCAAGCTGCGTGCCATATAGTCCTATTCTGTTTGAGCGAAAGTAGACATCTCTGAAACTAGGCAACTGACACCAAAACAAGCTGGATTGACAAATGGCACTACAAGAAATGTTTTTTTATTTTGGCTTGAACTGTACCTTTTTAAATCCATCATCATTATTGTCCCGTTGTCCATAAAAGATAGCTCCTGGGACTCAAAGATACAGTGTCTGGGACAAATATAGGACCGTAGAGACCATGAACGTAATCATTTCATATGTAATGATTTACATATGAAATGATTACGTTCATGGTCGTCAAACAACTTGTCAGTTCTAAGGGAAAGGTAGAGGAGTGGGATGTAAAGAACAGCTGTCATTTGCTATAGATAGCTTCCCTACTGGTAATTCATTACTTGCACATCATCACGATGTCTCAGCCATCATTATTAAATGTCAGAAGGTTGATCAATGATTAATTTACGGCGCTTATAGTTAAACAGACTTTACAAACGGCTTTACAAATTTGTAATAAAATGGAAATATTGATACAAATAAAAGGCCTGAATATTGTTTGAAATTAAGCTGTGAAGTAATGGAGTGCTACTAGGATGATGTATTTTTGTAAGCCAACCCAGAAGT